GTGGGTATGAAAGGGGTGTGGGGAGTGCGGGAAGAGACTGGACAAAAATCATACACCTATGGATGAGGACAGTGGGGGAGGGGGGGATAAGAGCAGAGGGTGGGGTTGGAACCGAGTGGAGGGGAGCTATGGGGGGAAAAAAGAGGAACAACTGTAATAATCTGAACAATAAAGATTTAATTAAGAAAAAATAAAAAATAATAAAAATAAAAAAATGTTTTGATCCTGACTTCCACTTCCAAATACATCAGGAAGCCTTTCTGTTCTCCACCAGTAAAACAGTAAAGCCTTTCTGTTCTGCACCCCAATTTCATTCCTTAAGAACATGGGTCTGTTTGAAATTCTATCATAAAAAGCAGAGGCTCTAAGCAGACACTGTACTAATGAAGAAAACAAAACCCTATGGGTGGAGTACAAAATCTTGAAAGTGATCCTCACCCAGGAATACCAGGTTCCTGTAGTTCTGCAACATCACATCCCTGAACAGTTTCCGCTGAGCTGGGTCCAGGCACGCCCACTCCTCCTGAGAGAATTCTATGGCCACATCACTGAAGGTCAACTGTCCCTGAAATTAAAAGGGGGAAGAAAGCATTACTCTATTGACCATGGGCAGAGGTCATAAGGTCACCCAAAATGAAAACAGAGTTAATGGAATTGGTTTAGGGTGTGTGTGTGTGTCTGTGTGTGTGTGGTTCTTTAATAGAGCTGGTTTTGATCTAGGACAGTACCCTGAGTTATCCAATGGCATCACTTTGACACTAATATTCTCTAAATATTTTGAGAAAGGATGGCATATGACCCACAAAACCACTGTAGAAGCTTTACTTTTCTGGAAGAGGAACTTTAAAAATAAAGACACCAACACAGGTATATCCACTTTTAGTGCTTTGTTTGAATCACAGAGGATCAAGTGTATATATTTCTTAGCTGGAGAAGTCATTCTGAGTGAGCAGTGTAGCACTTTTAAAAATTTTAATGAGTTCTGGATGGGGTCTGAGCTTCCACATGTTTAACCAGCTCACTTACAACTATAGTTGCCAATGTGCTGGTACATGTGCCAAACCTTTAGACAGCACAGAAGAAAACACAGGAAAAAAAT